GTGAAGATTCGCTTTGAGAACGGTGTACGGACTAATACGAGCAGATTCTTCATCCTAAGCGAGAAGTTTGCACGAATAAACAACCACAAACCCTTGCTTCGATCACAAACAGAGAGCAAACGTAAATGTAGACTACCGGCGGTAATCTATGGTTAAACAACATAGATAGATAACAACATTTAGGAGCGAAATCAGGCTTCTGCAGTTCATTCCTGACCACTTGATGAATCCGAAGAAGGTGATCGAGCAGCCTGAATAACTGCGGATGTAATTCTGAACCCCTTAGACGCAGCATAGCCACGGACAGGTTCTCCTTGTTGTGGGCTTCTCTCGCGCCTTGACCCGAATCGATCCGGTCGACCACCGCGATTAAACTCCCTGCCTCCATCGCGGAATCCTCTGGAGCCCCGCCAGTCTCCCCCACCACCACGAGGACGACGTCCATCATCGAATTCTCGTCTGTTCGAGTTATAGTTGGACTGATAACCTTGAGAATGGATAGCAGATAATATGAATACGGTAAGCCCGCAATGGACTAACGGGACAATGAGAAGCCTGAGAGCCTAACACTAATGGTTGCAGACGCAACTTACTACCGTGGCTTGATCCTCTATACTAGGCTGTAAGGAAGGTCGTGAACACACTTGGTCTGCATAAGTGGTCGAGTTCGAATTCACCTAAATGTGGCTGAAGAGTGAACAGTCTGCGCTGCGCGCTCAGAAAAAACGCCCGTTACCCAAAACTTAATTTTGGGGGCTGCCCGGGTAGTAATCAGAGGCCGAAGTAGGAAGTCCAATTAAAGATTGGAAAGAAGATTGGGGAAGGACGGAACTACCTTAGCATTTATCTCACAATTGCAAGTGACTTTGGATCAAGCAGTCTCCACTGCCGGCCATCATAACTTGAGGCGATCAGCAAAAAAATGGATACTCACTTGGACGGTTCTCGTAATTGCGCGGTGTGTTTCCCGAGTCGAAGCGCCCCTGACCTGGGTAGAAGGTAAGTATAAACGAAATCAGACGAACGTTTTACCGGAAGTACAATTTTGGGGGAGCTACACCTAACAAAACATTCATATAAACTTAACGACCAGTGGATTGGCTTACTACAGATGCCCACAGCACGGCACACCGAATTGGCAGAGCTGTTGGTTAGGGTGGACACTTTTCCATCAACCTCTGTGGACATCGAGCTTGTTGCTAAAAGTCTCCATCTAATTCCTTTCTTTTCATCAACATGACAATGAAAAATGAAAAGAGGAAGGCAAGTTGGATGACATTGACAATAAATGGGAAGGCTAAGTTGGGTCTGTGGATGTCACTTCGTTCAAATGGGTCGAAGCAGATTAAAGCAACAGATGCATTTGTTTGCATTCAGAATTTACGTCCCTCATAATTGCCATATGGGGTTTCCTGAGTGGAAATAAAGTCCATCAAGACTTTTTTGTGTACACACACCATTTGCATGAGACCAAAAACACTTACTGGAATTAAGTCTGCCCCGGAGTGTCCTGCCATTGAGCATTTTATTGTTGCACGCATGTAAGGCAGCCTCACATTGTTCGCGAGTCCGAAAAGTCAGCTGCGCAACACCAGAAGATCGTCCACGGTCATCGAGATTCAGAGTAATGTTACATGCATCTCGGAACTCCCTCTGAATGTCTTTTTCTGTAGCGCTATATGGTATGTTTGACACTATCAGCACTGGATCATCGTTGTTTCTGCCGCGCTCCTGATAACGACCACGGGAGGCAGACCCTTCACGATCAGGCTGCGAACGAGAGCCATAAGGTGGATTAATTGACGGATAAGATCCTCCCTGACTTTGGTGATAACCGTAAGAGCTGTCGGGTGCACTAGGTTGTCGTTGCGATGGGGGCTGGCCACCTTCCGTAGCTGAAAGTAAAAAGTGATCGTCAAACCTCTTGGTGTCGACACTTGCACGCTAGTGTGAAAACGACACCTCCTACCAACCTATATCGCATTACGCACACCAATTGGCCATCCCAGGAAATTTCTCATCCCTCATTTCCAGTCACCTGGGACTGTTATTCTCCTCTTAGGACTCCACTCTACTGATTACGTTGAAATGAATGTTCCGCAAGTTCGACTTGAGTGAATGAATCTTGCTCGGTTTATAACCAAGAAGACTGGTCCTGATAAAACGTTATTCTTCAATGCAATAACAACTTCGTCGCCAGTGTGAATTAGTGGTTGAGTTGCTGACTGAGATGTACGCCGCCGGTCGGGAGGAAAATTAGTGACAAAAAGATGAACTTCTTGGTGGCGACCCGTAAAGTAAATAACCGGCCAGCCACCTCGCTTTTGGTATTTCGTATTTCGCATTTCTTGCGTACATATACGACGATTGGCATCACACAATCGTTTAGCAGGGATGCACATCAAAGGTACTACTTACCTTCGCCATATTCAGCATGCAGCGTACGACCACCGAGTTCCTTCCCTTGACATTCGGCAAAAGCTTTGTGACAATCGTTCGGAGAACTGAACTGCATGACGCACGTGCTGACGCACATATATGAAATAAAGAGAACAGAACAAAGTGCAACCGGCTGCATGAAGGGTACAAGGCAAAGAGACGGGCGCATCTAGGCCTCATGCGTATCCAGGTCCGCCGAAAATGTAAAGATGCTTGATTTCCTCTTGTGGAGTTACGCCAGCTGCAAAGGCAAATGTCACTTGCACACAATAGCAGTCAAAGATACACCTGTACCAATTCAGCAACAAAGAAGGTAAAACTGAGTATTAGTGTGTGATAAAACAGATAACTTAAGAGTGAATAATCGATTGCTTCAGTTGAGTTACTTACTTTTGCGATGCTGCTGGACGACTTGTCATGCGAAAGATTCGTACGTTTCGAGCAGCCGGAAACAGTTCATGAAATTCCTCCTCATCGGCGGTAAAAGGTATGTTATATACCGTCAAAGATGTTGCAAACTTGTCCACAGTCGGATAAACTATGGCCGCTGCAGTCATTGTAGACCCTGAGCTAAAATTGAATACATAAACTTTTTTGGGTACGGAAAGTGGGACGCATCACAAAACAGAACAGGTCGTAAGTCAATTTTTTT